ACTTCTTGCATAAAGCAGTGAACCATTTTCCAAGAAAATGGTATATCGCTTCCATTAAGTGATCGACTACTTTAGGCAAGCGGTCAACTAATGACAGGCTTACTTCAACTTACACCCGCTTGTTAGAAGTGGTAGACCGCTTCCGCCAAACGATCTACCGCTTTTAGAGAACAGTCTACCACTTCCGGCGAACGGTCAACCAGATGACCCTGTTACCTTCTACTCACATTATGGAAATGATGGATAATAAGAGGCCTACAATATGAAACTGTATTAAAGTGCAACATCCTATCATCCGTGGGCAGCAAATCTCCGCAAAGATTAAAGGCCTAGGCAAAAAGAATTAGCAACATCTTTTAACACTTTTGGAATAAAAACCATTAAAAACAAAATGATATGAAATTTATGAACGTGGAAGATGACACAATTATATAACAGTTATACTCTACTTTTTAAGTATCTTCATAGAAACAGTACCAACAAAGTTGATCTATCACAAGACAAACTATAGCATAAAAACAATCAAACTTAGAATTTTAAGGAAAGATGAAAGTGTCTACAGCGTAAGTACAATCTATGAAATAAATATGGAAAACATTTTCCAAAATTTGGGAGAACAATCGCTCAACAAACTTCTCATTTATGCTCTAGCCTTTGTACAAATTTTAACTCTCTAGCCAACAAATATATGTACTGATATTGGACTCCTATAATTGTATATGTTGATGTCATTAGCAATAGTTCATTAGGTCGACCGGTTGTTGGAAGCGGTGAACTGTTTGATGGAAAGGTAGATCGCTTGGTAAAAGCGATAGAACAATTTCTTGAAAAGTGGTTGCCCATTTAATGAAAAAGATAGACCATTTTCTCTAAATCACGATAACTTACAAGTCATCGTAACAAATTCATTTGTTTTTATTCAATCCAACCTCAACTATTTTAATTAGGAACCACATAGACAACTTATGAGAGATATCCATGAGCCATAATACTTGGAAAAGCTAAAACTCATATTTTCACGTGGGCTCCACTTCCTCACTTTCCATTCCAACCAGTGGACGTTGAGTCGTTGAGAATTCTTGATAGCTAGGTAAATTGGGCGCGTGAGATTTGGACACAGAATTTTTGGGAGGGAAAATAGTACATTCAATTCTAGGAATAAAAAGAAAGAAAGATATATTTCGATAAAACTAGAAATTGAACCGAATAATTGAAATAAATGATTCAGTGACAAGTTTTTATTTATTGGTGTTTTGAAACTAGCCGTTTTTTTTTTGGTGGGAGGATTTGTGGAGCATTGAATTATTGAGACATGGAGGGAAGTTTCAATTTTTCATCTTGTGAAAATGAGAAATGGTGATTGTGGCCTGTGGAAGTGGTTAGATCACGAACAACGTTATGTCCCCTCTTTAAAACAGTAAATATTTTCTTGTCTTAAAAGTTTTTCCGATATGTATATTTTATATTCCAAGTTAAATTTAGATTGAAAAACTTAGTAGCTAACTCATAAAAAAAAACATACCTTTCACATTCCATTCGGTTATGATGCTGATAATGTTACATCAACGCTATATAGCTAACTCTTCTCATATAAAAATTGAACCGACATGACTCATGAGTACGGATGGCAATTTTGCCCATACCCATGGGTATTTTACTATCCAATCCAATTGGGTTGGGTATGAAATCCAAATATATGGATATGGGTAAAGTTTGATGGGTTTGTACCCATACCCATTTATTTTGGGTTGGGTTGGGTTTATAACAAATGGATTTGGGTTTGTACCCATGCCCAAATACAAAGTACAGTTTGGTACCTAAACTTAATATATATGCATATTTAGTACCTAAATTTAATTTTTTTTTGCATATAAGTCCTCAAAATATCGATGGAAAATTACGTTTTGGTACCTAAATTTTTCAAGTTTTACAAATAAGTCCAATTTTTGCATGTGTAGTTAAAACACCCTCAAGTAAATGGATATCCATATCCAACCCATACCCATTTAGATAATATCCCTAGACATGAGTAACATTATATTAAATATTTCCACAATATCAATCAAATGTGATTAGGTCATCTGTGGCAGCTCTGAATCAAATTTGTAAGGAAGCATGTAAATTATCAAAAAATTTCCTTTTCACTTTATTAAATCATCCACAATTCCCAATACAACTACTCAACTAGCATATTTTGATTGTTGACAAATCAGAATCCAGTGAAAAATATTGTGTATTATTACTGAAACAATGTAGGATTTATATAGAGTACGATGACAGATTTTTATAATAATTCTAATATAAATATAGAAAAACTTAACTTTTCTGACTCTGATAAATAATATAAATCTATTAATTTACATAACAATAATGATAGTATAACATAATACAACTCGTACAACTCATACTCTAATAATGATAAGATATACCGACTAGACATGCCTCCGCAAAATTATCACCACCAAAAAGAGATACATGAATTAAAAGATTCATGATTGAATTTACAGAACTTCATGAATGAATTTAGAGATCAAAATTTGTAAGCATGATAATCAAGCCATCTACTGTATAGAATTCCCTTTACATCAATGGAAAGCCTTCAAACAATTAGTCAATGTTCTTCTCTAAATCTCTAATTTTTTATCATATATATATATGCAATTCGACTGTACTATACTTGCGGTCCGACAAAAAGATTGCTTATTGGAGCCCAAGCCAGTAACTTATTAAGTTGTTTTGTCTATATAAAATAGTTGAACCACAATTAATCTAAAATCTTAGAATAAAATATCATACCATTAATTTCGATACAACCTCTAATATAGTTTTACAATCTTCGAGTTTTTCGTTCTTCAATATCCGCTTACCAATTCGTTCTAGTAAAAAAATTAAAGCAAGTAAGCAACTCTTGCGTCATAATTAGTTTTATTATATTCATGTTTTTGTTTTTTTTGCGCCATAGTGAATTTTGTATACTTATTAGTTATTGGTGGAGTGCATATCAATAAATTGTAGGGCTGGACAATCAATTTTTGGTTAGCGGTTAGCCGATCAGTTACAACCGAAACCAGCCGGTTATCCACTAACCAAAAATCGGGATAACCGAAAGTCGGTCGGTGTTCGGAGGCTAGGCGAGATGGTTTTGGTTTTGGGAGGCGGTTCGGTTAACCGATCGGTTACAATCGAAACCAGCCGGTTATCCACTAACCAAAACCCGAGATAACCGAAAGTCGGTTGGTGTTCGGAGACTGGGGGAGATGGTTTTGGTTTTGGGAGGCGGTTCAGTTAACCGAAAATCGGGATAACCAAAACCTTGAGCCCTCTTTCGGTCAGTGGTCGATTTTGGGAGGTGGTTCGGTTTACCGTTAACCAAAATCCGGTTTTCTCATAAACTGAAATCGACCGACCTCTAGCCCTAATAAATTGCACTAATTTTTGGTAGTTTATGCAAACTGGACCAAATAGGGTCCTAACACCCCTTAGTGTTAGCAGTTAGCACGATACTTATATAATTCATTAAGAGTATTATTGTAATTGCCAACTCATTGCAGCTCCTTTCCACACTCTGTCCCATGGATTTGGTTTCATATGCAAATTACAATTTGGTACCTAAACTTAACAGATTTTAAGATTTAGTACATAAATCCTTATTATTTTTATGAAAAATTATACTTTTAATACCTAAAATTTATGTCTTACATTTTGATAGATAAACTTTTAAAATTTTATAAATAGGTCAAAACTTATGAGGTTTCTAGTATGCTTTAAGAAACTTGTAGAGTATGCTTTATGTGGTTTAGATTGTGCTTTAAGAAACTTGTGGTATACTTTTATGAATTAGTGGTATGCTTTATGAGGTTTTCAGATATGTTTCATGGAACTTGTACTATGCTTTATGAGGTTCCTTGTCTGCTTTAAGAAAATTGAGATCAGCTTTAATAAACTTGTACTCTGCTTTATGATATTTATGGTTTGCTTCAGTGAACTTGTGGTCTGCTTTAATAATCTTGTGGTTTAGTTTAAGAAACTTGCGGAAATTACAAGCTTCCGTCCATAAAGAAGATGGCAGACGCCATCAACAACCATTGCCAGGCTCGCATGTCTAGGACCGCTGCCTCACCTCCGCCGTCGACTTCTTCCTCACTACATTCAAGCTCCAATGGCGATGATTGTGATAATGCCCAATTTTGATTGTGGGCAGGAGCAGAGCTACGTTGGGGTTCGGGGGGCAGGGGCCCCTCAAGAATTTTGAAAATCGCGTATAAGTACAACGAGCATTTAAAATTACGTATTAATTAAGATGTTTTATAAATACCGATAATGTGAAAAGTGAAACAGATATGTTTCTATGTAGTCTGGCGGAGAAATGGTTGTTTGTTATATTGGAGGATGTGGGTTCGGTACCCATCATCAACCCAATTTACTTATTTTTTGTTGTTTCAGTTATAGTCACTTTAACATTCATACTTAAGTCATCAACCCAATTTACTTATTATTCGGATACATTTATTTGTTACTTATAATAACTGAAGAACATAATACAAATAAAAAAATGATGATTAATTTTTGTTGACCATTTATTTAATAATGTTGAACACCGCTAACCAAAACCAAACCAAGCCTAACTTATAATTAGACACTAACCCCATAGTAAAACATCATCTACGGATAACCTATACTTATTCTAGGGTGGGGAGTTGATATTGATGGGGCAATATCGTAGTTGTGGGGATAGTCCAAACATCTCACTCATATTGGTTGTGGCCATGGCATCATTGAATACCCACAAACCTCATGTCATGAAATTCAGCGTTTTCTACATTTTCAAACTTCCCCTTCATACCCGCGCACTACCTCAAGAATCCGTTGATCTAAATTAATATCCTATTCTCCGAATAAGTAAACATTTTATTTCTATTCCTAATATATAAAAAATTCAAAATACAGACCCGACGTATAAAAGAAGAAAAACTATAAAGAAATGAGAAAAAAGGAAACCCCCAAAAACAAAAAACAAATCAGAGAAGAGAACGACCCAGAGAGAAAGACAGATCATCATTCACTTCACTCTTCCACAAGTTCCAATCTTTATCATTCATTCACAAAAAAAAACCTTTCCTTGCTACTACTCTTACTGCTTCACAATAATCATCATCACCATCACCAGTTCCCCCAATTTCCTCTTTCCTTCTCTGCTCTACGCTTCTCTTTTTAGATCTCTGTTCTCTACTCTACGGTTTGATGTGTACAAATGTGAAGCCTCGGGCGTAACGAAACAGGAGCCCTACCCATCAAAGCATTTTGCCCCATCGCCTCCCTTTTTCTCATTTCCTGGGTTTGGTTCTGCTCATAGCCTAGCTAGCTTCTACCCCATTTATAATCATCGGCTGCAGTTTTGATTCTTTCTTGCTTTTTCAACTTGGAAAGACCAGAGACTGGTTTCCCCTGTTTTGAGTTTTCTACCCAATAGTACCCCATTGGTAGTAACTTGAAAACTGTAAAAAAGAATCCGAGGCTACTAGAGAGCCGGGGAAGTGTCAAGTGTGTTGCTGGGTCCTAGTTGAAGGCGGATTAGCTTTATTGGGTCTTTTGATTTTTTGGTATTTTTGGGTTTCCCTTTTGATGGGTTTTTCCTTTCTTCATAAAAGGTTTGGCCTTTCTCGCAATTTTTTTACCAAATGCGACTTGGGTTTGTGAAAGGAGGAGAAGGGAGGAGCGTCCAAAGGAGCCTGTTGAGTTTTCTGTTCAGAGTGTGAAAGAACCATTTGCGTGTGTGGCTGGTTTGAAAATGGAAGAAATAAAGAAGAAGAAGATCAATGGTGGCGGTAGTGGTAGTGGGAGTGAAGAATCTACCAAGAAGAAGGAGAGGCATATTGTCACATGGAGTTCTGAGGTTTTCCATTCTATAACTTTGTTCTGATTTCCCCCGCCTGATTTTGTTCCTTTCCTTGCTGTTTGGTTGTAGAGAAAAATCGACTTCTCTTCTTATTCTTCATCTCTTTTGATTATTCTCTTGTTGGGAATAATCGGGGCTTATAACTTGTGGTGGCTGCAGGAAGATGATATACTTCGCCAGCAGATAAACTTACATGGAACAGAGAAGTGAGAATCAGATGAAAGATCTTGTTATTTCTCCTTTCTAGCCTGTTTATGGAGTTCAATTGAAGTGTTCGACTAAGTGATTGAACGAGGCTGATCAGTGTTTTTTTTTTTAAATTTATTGCAGCTGGGCGATCATAGCCTCTAAGTTCAATGACAAAACAACTAGACAGTGTAGAAGGAGGTAAATGAAATGATTACTTCTCCAACTGTTTGGATTATGCTTTGTTTAGAATATGTACTTTTCTGTTTATTTAGGGAAAATGAGACTGAGAGTGTACTTCTCATTTTAGTTATTAGTGATAGTGACATCTGATTGATTTGTTACTGCAGATGGTACACTTACTTGAATTCCGATTTCAAGAAAGGCGGTTGGTCTCAGGAGGAAGACTTGCTCTTGTGTGAGGTAAAACTCCAGAATCTCCATCTTGATGGATTAAGGTTTACTTCATCAAGGAAATCCATGGTTTCATATTCCAAGAACTAAATGCTGTTTGTATCCTCTAAATCAAAAGTTTAACTGGCTTTTGTCCAAGTTTGCTGATTGTCATGTAGATGTTCTCTCTGGTGTTAGTATATGATCTGAGATAGAGGGTGGTTATCCGGTTTTGGTCTGACGATTGCGAATCAATTTGCAGGCTCAACGAATATTTGGTAATAGATGGACAGAAATAGCAAAGGTTGTTTCAGGCAGGTACTGAACAGTTTTCTAGATTTTTCTCTTTGTGCACATTCCAAATGGAAGATGTTCCTTGTGGCAGTCTGCTAACAATGTATCTCTTATTGCAATCGACCTTTTTTTGGTTTATACAGAACGGACAATGCTGTGAAGAACAGGTTCACAACCCTTTGCAAGAAGAGAGCAAAATATGAAGCATTGGCCAAAGAGAATGCAAGTGTATTTAGCAAGTCGAACAACAAGAGAGTCTTGTTGGATGACAAGGTTAACACTGATAGAAACCCAGAAATTGCAGGACCTGCCAAGAGAACTAGGTACGGTGGAACATCTGAAAAATTTCTGCATTTGTGGTTCCATGGCCAGTTTGCAGCACATCTGTTGAAGTCTTCTTTTTTGTCTTTGTTCAAACTCAGGAGGTCCCACATTCCCAATGAAATGGAGGCCCGAAATCTTGGAGATAGATCACACCCTAAACAGGCTAGGCCCCCATTTATGGTGTTGGCTCGGTATGCACATAAAATTAATGCTGTTAATCAGCATCCAGTCATCAATAACAAGGACGTTTCCCCTGGTGGTAACATTCTTCTGCAGAAAACCTCCTTTCTTTAGTTCAATTGAGCTTTCTTGATGGCCAGTCAGGTTATGTTGAGTATACCGGTAGTAATTTTCTTTAATCCCAAAATGTTTAGCAGCTCTAAGTGGTAACACTCAAGGAACCTTTCTAAAAAAAGATGATCCGAAGATACAAGCCCTGATGCAACAAGCAGAACTTCTCAGTACGCTGGCGCAGAAAGTCAATACAGAGAACACCGACCAGAGCCTCGAACATGCTTGGAAAGTAAGCTTTTTCTTCCAGCTAGTGAGCTAAATCCTATTATGTCCATTTCATTCATTACTAAAGAGCACATTCGTTAACTGAATGTGTTATGCAGGTACTCCAAGACTTCCTGAAAAAGAGCAAAGGAGATGAGATCCCGAGTTACACGATTTTCGACATTGATATCCAACTTGAGGATTTCAAAGACTTGATAGCAGAGCTAAGGAGCAGCAGCGATGGAAGTCATCCATCTTGGAGGTAACCAAAAAAATTGAGGTTGATAATTTAGTATTCAGATTGAGCAGTGTGTTCCTAAAAAGAGAGCTTACCAGTTACCTCAATCAATACAAATGTTGCAGGCAACCTGATCTATATAAAGAATCTCCAGCTAGCTCTGAGTTCAGTACAGGGTCAAGTCTTATGCCGTACTCTGCTCCTGATGTAACAACAGAACAACCTCATAGTGAAATCGAGACGCTGCACAAGGATGTTGGAAGTGAATTGGAAGCAATGCATGTCGAAGGACAGGAAGTTGTTGAAAGTGAATGTCACATCGAAATTGCATCTGGGGATAACATAGCTGAAGGTAAGCCACAGATGAAGAAAAGCAAAGTTGTCAAAAGTACATTACTTCCCATCCATGATAGCCTATGCTGATGAGATGTGTGACAATTTTCAGGGGAGCTGTTTCCATCATTTGAAGACCAAACAAATGACGACATAGTTGTTTCCTCTTCATCGAGTACAGAGTTTGGCTCCCCTCGTCAAGTTACCCCATTGTTCAGATCCTTGGCAGCTGGAATTCCTAGTCCCCAATTTTCAGAAAGTGTGAGTTGATTATATTGATTCTCTTAGTTAGAACTGCATCAGGTCATCTCCTATTACCTAAATGGTTGGGGACAGGTCTCACGGAACCTAAACACTTCTATATTAGGTCAGGCTACTACTGTCACCTAGGTTTGAGAATGCCGTTAGTTGGTTCTAGGGATTTTGATATTCTGAGCTTGCTGTATATAAGAGGTAGTAGTGCTGCCTGAAGGTCATTGAAGTTTCATTTAAAGGTTTATGATTAAAGGACTTCCTCACCCTAGTCTTGGTTCCTGAGGGCTTATTTAATATAGCAAGTTTCTTATATAGATCTAGACTCTACCTAGATTGATTATGAATTTATGATAAGACTATCACTTCCTCCTCCACCCACCACACAGTGCATTTTCTTATGTACCAACTTCACTCTCATGATCATTGCCACCCAATATCCTGTTTTCATGACTCTAACATCGATATTGAAATCTTCAGGTCCTCCTCTCATTTTGATCTTTGTTGATTTTCAGGAAAGAAGATTCCTGCTGAAAACTCTTGGAGGGGAGTCTCCTTTCTCTAATCAAAGCATCAACACCTCTCAACCACCTCTCTGCAAAAGAGTCCTCCTCCAAAGTTTATGAGATTGAGAATCGCCATCAATCTCATATGCACGACATGGTCTATCCCCATTCCTAATATCTTTATTCATCACATAGAGAACCTGGTTTCTCAACCCCACCTCCAAAAAAAAAAAAAAAACTGGTTTACCTCAAAACAGTCATTATATTTGCTTTACTAGGGGTGCAGCTATCCTGGCCGAAGTTTTATCCATCGGCAAGTCGAGATTACTGCATCCAAAACCCAATGTCTAGAATGTGAAGGATGCATTCTAGCCAGCTCAGGACACATACCAAGAAATGTGACTCGAGTACAATTTTTCATATTGGAAGTACTGTAGGAGAGTGCTACCATGGAAGAAAGGCGCCCCCACCCCCTGTGATTGCTACTGGTGTGGCATTCTTTTGATTTTTGCTGCTTGGATTTCGGTAGATGGGCTACCGCAAATCCAGTTTTCGGCCTTTGGTTCATCATCATATGTACAGAAATCTTAGTACTACTACTATATATGCCTGTAGTCAGAGTGTAATTAGACATCGGCATCTCGCCTATATAAGAGTAGAGAGAAGAAACATAGAAAAGAAGGAAAAGAGAGTAAAGGAGGATTAACTAGCTGATTGGATTCCTATTTTTTTAGTTTTTGGTGTGCATAGGGTATAGAATAAGTTTTTTCCCCATGTTTTCTTTTTTTAGTTGGTCTTCCTTTACCTGAATTCTGATGTACCAGAATAGAAACTTGGTGGGATTTGGAAATGGAAATGTCTTCCTGGTTTTGGTGTGCATATTTTATCTTTCTCTTCATCAATTCTATTACAAGTTTTTATCTTTACTGCAATCAAACTCGGATGAGGAAGAAGATTCAGACTGCAACAGAGCTCTCTTCAGAAACAAGAAAAATTCGAATGTAAGTTGGTTACATCGCATTTACCTGACTGAGGTCATTCCTCCATGTCCTTTCTCTCCAGTGTCCCATGAAACCAGAATCTTTTCCTTCTGCTTTTCACTGTAAAAGGAAGAGAGGAAAGTAAGAAGTAAATAAGAAGGGAAGAGAAAGGGCTAGCTTCACTTGTGCTTCAGAGATGGGATTTGGCCACTAAAAAAGCAGAAGAACAGTTTGGCCAGAATCTCTGCTCCTCCATCCATCTCTCTGCATTATTCCTGAGCTTTGCTTCTATGGGAAAGTCCTGTGGGGGAGAAGTGATGAGAGGGTCCTTGTGGATTCTGTTATTTAGGAAGGGTTTGTAGTAGTGGTGGGTGATGGTGGAGGACAAGTGTAATCATTTTGTGCAAAGCTAAAAGCAAAGGAGAGGGAACCGCATACAAATTAAAGCGTTTACTCATTGATTGGCTTCTCCTTTCTTGAGGTTTACCCCCCAAGTTGATTATTTTGACTGTCTTCAGTCTTGAATCTTGATCATATAATTACACTTGCAAGATGCGATATCTGAACCACCAAGCAATAATGCAATATCCTTCCTGGTCACCCCTACCAACTCACTGGCCCATATCCATAACCCACTGCATACATGTATTCACGTATGATATTATCCTACTTGGCTGCAAGATCAATCAATAAATAAACACGTTGAGCGATTAAGGATTTGGTTCAGTGGTATATTTGGTACGATCTGGTCATTTCTGGCAATCCAGTGTATGTTTGGTATGATCTGCGGTTGAATCACGATCCATTGTACTGACAGTCTGAAATTCTGCACTTATTTACCAGACATGTAGTTGAAAGGATTAGTGGCCTATTGGCTATTCGGTGGCTCTTTGAAGTTAAAAACGTCTCCACCACCATAGCAAATTTATGATGACAATAACAAAAAGGGGAAAGAGAAGTGGTCAGGGTGAAAAGCATCTTCTTCACCATATATTAAAACCACTACGAACAGGCTACCAGAACAGAGCTACTTCAATTCTCTATATCAATGAAGTGTATTCAATTTCAGTTACACTTGGCTGTAATCTAGTTGTGGTTCTACATTTCATACCAACCTGGAAGCTACAATGACAATATAATAGGGCAGTGAGAACAAAGTTACAAAAGAAAAATTGAAGAGAAGAAGGTAGATCTCCAAAACTGTAGAATTCTAATGGCATCAATTGTTCTTTCTCTTCTTCTGCACTTTCTGCAACTTCCTCCACTTGAGAAAGATCTGATACGATAGACCAGAGAAGACCATGGCCACCGACCCCCATTGCTTCGTCGAAAGAGGGTTGCCACTTAGTACGGAAGAAACCACGATGCTGACGAACTTGCGAGTAGTCGTGATGGTGGTGTTCGCGAGTGATCCGAATCTGCTTATCGTTAGGAATATGAAGTTCTGGCCCACTGCACCACACAGGCAGTAGTACAAGATGTCCCATGCTGCCTCTGGATGCTGCTTGCAGAACTGCACTGCATCGTACCCCATGCCGTATGGCCAACCAAACATGTAGACGATGTTGTAAATGGTACCCCACAAGTTCATCCCCAACATTATGTCCCATGCTGTGGTCTTCGGATACCTGTGGATAATACAGGTTGCAGTTGAGACATGATCACATGAACATAATATGCATGCATGATATGAAAGAAATCAACTTGACAGTTGTGTGTTTGTCTTGGCAAAGCATTTAAAGTTACCTTGCTGTAAGTGAATCCTGCGTGGCATTTGTGAATCCATCAAATGCAAGATTCAAGAAGCAAAGTCCATACCCAAGAGGTGCATTTGGATGAGCTAGCTTGCTAATGGTTTTTGAGCTAGTCTGAGATAGAAAAGATGAAGCAACCAGTATGAGAAGACGAGAGAAGCAGCAACACTTTCAGTTTTTCAATATAGCATAACCTCTGATATGGCTCCTAAGAGCTTAACTGTGATAATTTCTCACCTTCAAAAGTGCAAATGTAGATACACCTCCTGCAACGAGGAAAGTACACAAGTACTCTGGAAGTGTGTATCTTATGCCGTATACTAGACTCCCCATCAACATAACTGTAGGAAAGGAAACAACCTCTTAGTTACGAAGGTAATGGTCACCTTTGATCCTATTTTTTATTTTAGAAGTACAAAAGTCGGATCCAATTTAGGAGAACTGCATTTATGGCATATGAGTTGATGGCTAAAAAGATCACCAGCACCTTCATGCGAGAAACATGACAAATTTTGAGAACTTCACAAAATAAGTAAAAGGCCACTAATATTAAACTCTAACATGAGTACAGATTCATTTGCAAAGGCTAGGAAAGACTGAAACTAGAGCAGACATAACAGAAAGCTTCACTTGGTAAGAAAAAAGTCCCACCTGGAATCATTTTCGATGATTTTGCAAGAACCTGCAAAAACGAGGACCATCATCAAGAACCAAAACATATTGATGCCAACATTTCAGATAGACTATGCAGTGCAGAAGCCATTACTATGACCATGAAGTTGATGTAAGCCAGCATGAAGACCACGTAAATACAAAGCAATGGTTGTGAAACCATCAAGTCAATCCACTTCATCTTCTCATCTCATTCCTAAACTCTATGTTCCAATGCAAAAAAGCAGTAGCCTTAAGGGATGAATCACAAAGCATTTCCAACACCATTCTAGAATAGCTTATCATTTCCCCCATGTTCTGTCCAAGTAGCCCAGCTCCAAACCCAGTAACAGTCACTAACTTTTTGGGAACAGAGAAATCGAAACATGCCTGAGCTGGATAACTGATGTACTTCAAGGCTTCAATTCCCATAGCCGGGCCAATCGTATTAGTAATGCCAGCGCTCCAGTATGACCACCAGGGCGCACCACCACCGCTGCTTCTAGACCACATCTTTATCACTGCAAAATTCAACCCACCACGACACCAAATTATCAGAGCTCCAAAAACCCACCTATTTCCCTTGACATTATCAAAATAGCGAGCAGCACGAAATGGAGGAACTACTCACTCATGAAGGACCAAATCAAGCAGACGACACTCTGTGCCAGATTAAGAAACGCCAGATGCTCAAACCGCTCCCCATCAGGACCAAAGCGCTTGGTCGACCTGTTCGCAGCAAGTAAAAGAGAAGCCTTTAGCTTTACATATCATCAAACGTATACTTCCAATCGCTCCATTACAGAATCCCAAATCCCGATCCTTAACTTGCAGCACCAATCGACAAAGCTCTCATTCCTTGCACAAATTCAAATCGCAAAAACAAAGGTCGGGAAACATTTTGGGTAAGTTTTTTCAAGCAGCTTACAGAGTCTCCTGAACAACTCCTTGGTATATATAAGCCGCCCAGATCCCGGCGATGCAGAACGCCAACAGAATCACGCGGCGGAGCCCGGCGCTGTGTGCCTCCATTCTGCCGCCGCCGGTCACCGAAGATCCGGTGATCCTCTCTCTTCGATTCCTCGGCGATCTTCTGCTACGAGAATATCGAAGGGGACTGAGCAAGTGGCAATGGTAGGAGTATACCGCAGATCGAAGGTCCGAGAAGGGAATCGGGGCAAAAATGATACTACACCTTCAACGACCAAACGGCGAAGTATTTGTTCGGGGGATTTCAAGCGCGAAGCAACGTCGATGTGACCACGTGGAGGTTTCTTATTGGGCTGGTGACTTCAGCAACGTATCCTCATTGGCTGCAGAGACGCGGTCTGTTTTCGTACCCAAAAAGCGTCGTTGACGTTTTCAGTTTTGCTCCCCACTACTTGTGGAGACGTGGAGTTGTCGGATTAATTTGCCGTTTCTCCCGGTGACTTACCAACTCTTTTGGGCTTGGGAAAGTTGTTGGATTTGCGGAGCCCAGCCCATAGTAGGTCACTAGGTTGGTTAGATAGGCGTTTATCTCTTTTACATTGGTTGGGCCGAACTAGTTATCGACTTATCCCCGAAGGAATTTATCCCGTGTCCTTCATTCTTTGATGGGCAACCGAAAATAGGTATTTGGATATATTCATACTCGTTCGATTTTTTGAGAGTTACAGGTATCAAAATACCATAATTGTTTTTACGGGTTGGAACTTGAGATTAAGAATTTTTTTAACGGGTATCCACGAGTTACTCGTTAATACCCGCCCATAACCCAGCCTAATGGAAACTTGTTGAATTCATAACTGTTGTAGCCGTTGATTACACATTCCGGCTGGAAGGTTTGTTTGATTTACTGATTCGGTTCACTAGCTATCTATTCAAGCAGTTCATCTTCGGTGGGTTTTGAGGTAGGACTTTGAACATGTGATTGAATATGTTGCAGAGTAATGAATGGACCTGTAGTTTCCGTTGCGAGGGAGCTGGGTTTCGAAAGGAGTCCGTCACTTGAAATACTTGTGGATGCAGAAGAACATTTCAGATTGCTATGGTTCCATTGATTCTTGGTGCAATCGTAAGGTAATTTAATTTTGCAATTAGTTTGGATAACACAGGCTTCCCATTATTGAAATTAATTAGTCATCTTTTTCATTGTTTCCTTTGTAGTTTGCGGGGAACAATTTGATAGGACAGTGCACAAGAGCACTCGTTTGAAGACATAATTGGTGGACGATTTCTGGTTGGCCTTGGATTGAAAATGACTGTTTTACGAGTTACCCACGAGTATCCGTTATCCATCCCGTACGGGTAATGGGTACCCGTTAACCTGTACGGATTTGGGACATGCGATGGAGTTTTCTCAACAAATGTGACTGGATACCCGTTTCAAAAGTGACGGATCCCCAGTCTCGTCTTGTTGCCCACCCCTACCTCCCATCCCTTTCCACATGACTGGGCATCAGTCGATAGCGTTTACTGAATCAACTTAAATGACTGGTTCTGTAAAAAATAAGCCAACCTTAACTATGGATTGAGATTATTCTCTTGTATATTGTAATGATAGCGAGTTGGGGTTTGCTGGTCATTCAATATGTCCATCTACTTTGAAACGATGTATTCTATGGAATATATTCATTACCTGTCGATTAGCTACTATGATAGAGTTGGATAATATCATTAATCACGCTATGAAAGAAAATTTTAACACTAGGTGGCGGAGAATTATGTACTTTTTGTACAACGCATACCAGATTATACAAGTCATTTGTTTGCTATGAAGAATATGGAAATCCCGCAATGCAGCAGTTTTCGAGGATACTCAAATATTGTCATATGTTCTCGCTGCTCAATTCAATCACCAAGTACAAGAATTCTCCCCCACTCATCCATTTGTTCTTCCTCCCCCATCACCGGTCGTTCCTACATTCATCGCATCCTGACCTCCCCCTCGTCCTGTTCACCTCAAAGTCAACTTCAACGCTCCATCCTTCTCGAGGTAGTGCTACTGCTACGGGCTTGGTGTTGAAGTCTGCCGACAACCGTGTGTATCTTGCTATTGGATTTCAACGTCTTTGGATTGGAAACCCGTACGTACCTAGCCGAACTACTAGCTACTCGAGATGGTTTAAACTTGTTTCATAACATATGCCTCCATGGATTCACACTAGAAGGGGATTATGAAGTCTTCATTCGCCAGCTACTCAGAGGGATAGTGAAAGATGCAATTGAAGATCTGGTGCTCAGAGACTGCTATAATATGATTGCTGCTCTAGAATTAGGCTTAGATTTGTGCGATCCTTAGGATCGCCAATCAGGTTGGCCATTGTGTGGCAAGAAAAATCATTTCTCTGTCTAGTTTAGAGTTGCTTTCATTTGATTTTATTGTTTGAATGAGAAGAGATATATGATAGCTAGATTCTTTTCTGCATTCAATTGTCATATCTTAGATAAAAAAATCACTCATGCAACAAATTTCAAATTGGGGTGAATGTTTTTCAATGCCACTATAAAGTAATGTGTAGAAGTGGCCTGAAGAGTTTCTGAAAATAACTTATTCAAGTTTATGCAGTTTTAGTGGACTTGAGATTAATTGTTAATTTCTATTAAATACAATTTGAAGAAGAATTTCCCACCATATTTTGGAATAACGTTTATGTGAAGTTTTATTACCTTTTATGCATCAACTATGTTCCTACCATCAAGAACTAGATGGTATCCGACCCGTTGGTCGGAATGTTATTTGAATATGACGTATTTGTGATGTAAATTTTAAAATTTTCAAATATTTGAAAAGTGGATTTCTACCCATTAGCTAAATTAATTGTTAAAATTCAATTAAATAATAAATATATGAAAATCGAAATATCAAACTCCAAAAAGATATCGACAAAATATTTAGTGGGCTAGTTAAGCCTAGTGGAAAATCATTCATTTTTAAGATTTAAGATTTTTGTATGTTTTTAGTTGAAAATAATAATCAAATTCATTTAGTATAATTGGTAGTGATTCATGTCCTTATTAAAAGAAATCATGATTCAAAATCCAGGATTGAATAATTTTATTCTTATGAATAAAAAAATAACGGTAAAAACAAATCTACTCTTTCTATTTCCAATCTCATGCTCTTTTTTTTTTGGTAGAAAGTGGGACGCTGAAGGGCGCCCCTGCCTGAAATTAAATTAACCGATCCTGGGTAATCCCCATAGTATCATACAAGGTCCAAAACTTGAGACCCGAGTCTGAAATATCAAAAGTATGAGTGCCAAGGCTAAACCCATGGGCCTTATTAGCTAAGTAGTCTGCCGTTTTATTGCATTCGCGGTATGAGTGGGAGAGATGAACCTCCCAGTTACGCTGTAGCATGTTCTGAAAATCAAATCACGCCTTAATACCAAATTCTAAGAATAGGGCTTTTGTCAGTTTTTTTAACCCAGAGAATCTCATGCTCTTTAGATTTATAGATGATGATGTTTGTCAGTTTTTTTAATTTAAAAATCAAATCACGCCTTAATACCAAATTCTAAGAATAGAGCTTGGACATGTTCATTTCGGGCCTTGATGGAGGTTGGGCCAAATCCTTTGGAGATTTGTCATCTGTAGCGGGATATGTCTACCTCCAAAGTCCAAACAGGTCCAGCCCAACACAACGATGATTTCTTTATTATATGTCACTGTTAGTTTCTCTTTAAACTTTCCGAAAATGGGAGAGAAACGAAAAGAGAACGAAGGTTTGACAGCAAACCGGAAAAATTCCGATCAGCGGAACGTTTAAAGAGTGTCAGTTGCAGAGCTCTATTGACCTCCTCCAATAGTCATTCTCGCTTGCCGGAGATGTTTGCCTCTGAAGATATGTAGGTAATTCCGATTGTTTCCGATTCTCAGTTTCAATTCTAGCTGATGCTTATGATTCCCTCCTCTTAAATCTCGACCTAACTCTGTTCGCCCTAATTCATTCAGATTTGGACAATGAAGGTTGGAGTGGAGTTGTTCAGTTGTTGAAAGGGGAAAGTGAGAGGATTTTTTTTTTTTTTTTAAAGTTTCTTGTGAGTTCATATTTCGCATTCTGTGTTGTTAGGAGAAAGAAACAACGACAGAATGGTGCTGGTTTTAGCTATAGGGGACCTTCACATACCCCATAGGGCGGCCGATCTGCCTCCAAAATTCAAGTCCATGCTTGTTCCTGGCAAGATTCAGCATATAATTTGCACTGGCAATCTCTGTATCAAAGTATGCATACCTTGGTTCTCTCTCAGTTCTTCCATTCTTCCCAACACTCTCTTTCTGAGTTCTATTATTGGTTCTTCATCTTTAATTTGCTTGCTACGGATTTCCTCCCAGTGTAAATTCCGTTATCCATATGTGTTGTTTGTTATTAGATAGATAGGTGAAGGCATGTTGCAGTCACGTTCCATGTATTTGCTGGTTTGAACAGTTGATTCAGAACTTCTAATGGTTGTGTTGTTCCGTTTTTGACAAATTTTGTGTATGCTGACTGAGAGATTCCACATTGACGGCCCATTAGTCTGTTTTTAGTGGAAGACAGAGTTACCTAGTGGTTTGCATATTTGATGGTATGTAGTATTTGGAAGACGGTAGGGTTTCAAATGGGTCTTTTTTCTGGAATCTCCAAAGGTTTATGGGTGCCTATGGATCTCTGGGACTACATACTGTTTCAGATGCTCTGCTTTGCATTGCTTTGTCTCCGAGATTATATTTTGGAACTATTAGATCCATGTTTCGGCAGATGCAATGATATTTCTGATGCGAATCCTACTTTTTGATTTACTTTGCAAGTCATTTATAGCTGGTCATATTCTCTTTGCTTCTATACTTGTAATTCTTATTAGCTACTGTTGTGTGTGACTTTCACGAACAGGAAGTGCATGACTACTTGAAGAGTTTGTGTCCTGATTTGCATATCACCAGAGGTGAATATGATGAAGACTCCCGCTATCCAGAGACTAAGACACTAACCATTGGCCAATTCAAGCTGGGAATATGCCATGGCCATCAGGTTCGCTCTCTAAAGCTGTTGCATATTTGCACTTCATTTATTAGCTGATATTTCTCATTTGGACAAGGGAAGGCTGGGCAGGGTAGGACATAGGAGGGTACTAAAAATGCTGAATCAATGCCATAGTGTTGTTTGCTCTACTCCTGGGAATCCTTATTTTTTCATGGTTTATGCTCTGAAGGTTATTCCTTGGGGAGACTTGGATTCACTGGCCATGCTGCAAAGGCAGCTTGATGTGGACATCTTAGTGACTGGTCACACACATCAATTCAAAGCCTACAAACATGAAGGAGGTGTTGTCATCAATCCAGGCTCTGCCACTGGCGCTTACAGTAGCTTCACCTATGATGTGAATCCAAGCTTTGTGCTGATGGACATCGATGGTCTACGTGTCGTGGTGTACGTATATGAATTGATCGATGGTGAGGTCAAGGTCGACAAGATTGATTTTAAGAAGACCGCCAATCCTCGGTGATTAATCATGTTGAGAATGTAGATTGGAGCCCATTGAACCAGAAGGAAGCGGGGCATCTGGATGAATAAACAGGTAGCGTACTTTCAATGTTTGTTCTCTCACTGTTCCTGATTTGTGAGACTTGATTAGGGTTCAGCGGTGTGGTGTGTACCTTCGTATATCCATTCTCTTTTGTCGTCTCGGTATTTCGAGTGTTTGGCAGAGTAAATGTACTCTGTTCTTTCTCTTATAAAACTTTATTTCCAACTTCATGAACTGAATGGATGTTGAACAGGAGTAGACCAGAGGTATTAAGAACAGGTTGAACTGAAATGGGGATTTAATCAACTTGAGTTTAATGTGTTTCTATTATTTCTTGTCCTCATATTTCCTCACAATTTCAATTTGCTGCTGTTTGTCAATTTGGTGGAATATTAAGACTTCTACTGGGGATTGAGGCTTCTAAGTTCTAACAGAACTAACCTTCTTCCTTAATACGAAACTCTAGCACGGTATGTCTACCAGTTCATCTGCTTGGTTGTGGTGGTGTTTAATTATGTTTTTGTACGAAATCATTTGTTATAATTATGTTGCTAGCTGGGGCAACCATCAAAGAAGAGTCTTTACCAATTACAGATGTTCTCTAAGTTTCAAACTCAAAATTTTGGTAGTGTGGAAGGTACTCATACGATCACATCCCACGTCTTTTGGTATTCATTTCATTTATTTACTTGGCGATGGTTAGATACGGCCTTCCATTCCTTACCCATAGCACATAGGGCAAGGAAAGGCTCAAACACGCTCAATTCGATTAGCTTGCCTATAACCATAGGCGTAAGCATGTGCTTATGTCGTTTGATTGGATGCCTAGCAATTCGATGTTATCAGATGCACACGATGTCTTATTTGATTGGCGTGCTTACAACGCTTAGCCTAAGTACGTACTTAAGCCGTTAGATCCGTGTTATCTAACAATCTACTGTCACCAAATGACGATCACGATGTACATATGATAACCGTGGTTTCATGGATGCTTCATCTAACAGCGTAAACACATGCTTGTACCACCATAGCCAAATTCAGTCCCGGACTCTGTCTCCTTTTGATGGCAGTCCTTATTTCTCAGGGCTCAACTAAGATAGACCAAATCGGAGGTTTTGGTACGAAAACAAAATATAATTAAAGCAACAGGATTGCTGCTGCGGCAATCAAGCTTCTGCAAGTCCGTCTGGAGCTATTCCTTTTCCCTCCTCCGTGGGAAACTTGGGGGCCAAGCAAACCCTCTTCATCCCAAAGTTCCCAACAAATCAAATAATAAATACCCCTGCCGTCATTTCACCAATCGTATTCCCCTGTTTTCCGCTTCGTATTTCTGCCCTTCTCTCCTCCCAGCCCACCCTAAACAAGAAAAATCCGCCGCCGCCGCCGAATATGGAGACGAATTACGTCTACGCCTCAGTAGACATCGAGAAAATCGGCCCCTCCCCACGGCGGTGCCTCCGCCGCCACCCACCATCCCAATCATCGTCGTCTTCCTGGACTCATCTCAAATTCACATTCTCCTACCAAGTCCACCACTTGCTCGTTCACCAACCGGAAGTCGGAACCCCGACCCTCCTCCGCCGCTCATCCGACCCCGCCGTTTCCAGATCCCTCTGGCTCGGCACCACCGGGGCGTTCAGCAAACGGCCTCACGCGCTCTACGAAGACATCGCTTCCGTCTGGTGCTCTCTCGGGATCGATGAGCGGTTCCACCACCAGCTGTTCGAGAAATTGGTCGCCGAAGTCCGCGACGCAGCGGATTGCGTTTCCCCCAAGCTTATGTTTCTGCCGCTCCGCGTCGCTGTTGTGAGGGATCACCTGGTTTTGCTAGACGACGGCGACCCGATTGCGGATGTTGGCGAGGAAGAGGAGGTGGAATCCGTCTGCTCGGTCGATTTCATACCCGAGTAATCCTGACGGCGGCGGAGAGTTTGATTTATTGGCCGCCCTGTTTGGGCGAGCCCGGGGGTTTTTTTTTTTTGCGGTTTCCTGGGGGAGAAGAGGCCTCCATGGAAAGAAGCTTGCTTGATGTTTTACAGGGTACGCTTTCTGTCAAGCGGAAGAGTGCTGATTGGGTAGATTTGTGAAGCCATTGACAGATTGGTGATCGAAGGGTTACCTACCGCATTCTTGTTAATCTTTCCTATTGACTAATTAATTGGGGTTTAATTATCTTTTGCCTCTTTGGTTTAGTCGTATTTGTGTAAGTTGTAACTTTCTAAGACCTCTGACTATGGGCAATAAGATCGAGCATGGAATATTTTGGTTGTGTTTGTGACTCTGATTATCTGATTATATGCGTATATGAGTTTTGAGTTCATCGATCTTTCACCAGGTTTCATCAAGCATGTTTTGGGCGTGCCAAACAGTAAATTATAGCCATAGAAGTAAGGGTGGGCAGTCTAGCCGGCTGAACAGCTCCAAATCTGTGATCGTCTGAACTGAAACTCAAAACATCCGGCTATGAGAAGTAGAAATTCGAGGTCTCCACTAGATGTCGAATAACATCGTCCACATAATCCCTGTAGTTGGGATCGTTGTGAGCATTAGTGCCGGCTGATCATATGGCAGCAGAGTTGCAGAACCAGCAGCAGCCAGCCATTGTTATACAGCCCTGCCCTGCTGCCCCGTAGTTTCAGAGAGATGTTAGTACCCATTGGCAGCGTATTCAGAAGGGTAAGGCGCCATTGTCGTATTATTACTGTTTGGGTGAAGCTAATTGAGTGCTTTTTAGTTATCATCCTTTGGAGTTTGTAGTGAACCCTTTTGATGCGGATTGTGTGCTTGCCAATATAAGCCTGTTGTTGCTGTGGTCTGAGACTGTGAGTAGCTTGCCAAGGAAGATTGACTAGCTAGCTAGCGGCTTCTGAAAGAAAATTCTCATTTGGACTGTTCGGCAGTCTGTTGATGAGTGCAGGAACAAGGCGATAACTTTCTCACAAGCGAGTGTATAACGTTAACGGTAACCTGCTACACCCGAAATTCACGCTAGCGGACCCTGGAAGGTAAAGGCTCCTACTTGGCCACAAAACCAAATGAACTACTCGATGCTACATTACTAACCTAGCACTAACACTGAAACAATCCACAACCCATAACATAAATAGTTCAACATATAACACATTAATTCCCGAAGCCCAAAGGTTTTTATTCCCATCATCAATCTAAATTCTAATCCGTCTGGTTTGTATGGACCGGGACATCGGGAGTTTCAACAATCGCTTTACGTGATCTTCAATATACGACATTGCTTCAGTTAGTCGTTGCAAATTATCCAACCTGCTAATGAGCGTCTCAATATTCAGTTTGAAAAAAAAAAAAAACTCGTTTGACACTCAGGTTGTTTACTTACGAGTCGATTTTGAGCCAATTCTCCTTGTTCGGCTCGCAAGGCTAGTGAGCCAGCTCGACTCGATTGTTTGTAGAGCTCCATTAGTTAGTTAGCTTGTTTTGAGCAATGAGCTGCTCAATAGTATGGCTAGCGAACCACGCCAACTAGCAAATTATGAGCAAATCAATTAATAACTTATCATTTTCATGTTGATAATTCATAAGTTTATTAGATTAAATATCTCCCCACACATGGTGTTTAAGAATTCATGGGAGCTAGCCTTGGTGACCCCCCACCCCCTGATCATACCATGGGGGGTTGTATGTTGGTGGTTCCTAGACCACCTCATGGGGATGCTCCTTGACACCCTCATCATCCTCCATACTTTGCCACATTTTACCTCTTCTCTTCTCACCAAGGCGCCATGGGGGCACGGGATCAAATATGTCTCATTCATAATTTAAAAGAGAATTATATATATCATATATTGCTCAGATACTAATTAGTAATTACTATAATATTACATGATATGAAAATAAAAAATTATAACACTAATCAACTAAGTGATATAATACCTTAATTAGCTCGAGCTAATATCACGATCTAATCGATGAGCCGAGTTCGAATCGAGCTCGGACCAAATACAAGATCAGGTTTTAGTAAACAAGCCAACCTCAAACTCAACTAGTTTATAAACGAGTTGAACCAGACTTAGGTTAAAAACTTGGCTGGAATCGACTCATTTGTAGTCCTAGGTGCGAAGGGTGTGCAACTGTTCGATTCGGTCCAGATCAACCTAATTTCACGAGAACCGCAGTCCAATAGTGAAATATATTTTAGAACCAAGAAGCAAACCGACAATGCATTCGGTGCGGTTTGTTCCAGTTAGGGTTGCAAATGAGCTAAGCCGAGTCGAGTTTTACCTCAGCTTAAGCTAGGCTCGTTAACAAACGAGATGAGCTCGAGCTCGATTCATTAACGAGTTAAGTCGAGTCGAGCTCGAGCTAGACTTGTTTAGTAAAGTATTGAGTCGTATTTGATACCTAATTTTGAATGTCATGGATCATACATGTGATTGATGTCAGGATGAAAAAAAAATAGTCAAATGCTCAATATTAACTAATCTCATATTCTACTTTGTTGGTATCATATTATGTAGCTAATCACTTTTAACTAGTTCAAATTATGTTATTTAACAGTATCGAAGCAATATGTTATATATAAAAAATAATATATATTTGCTCACATACTCGGTATGTTAAACTTCATATAGGACGAGATATATAATTTACCAATCATATGAATTAAACTCATAAAATATAGATCGATTCGCCCATAATTTGGTAATTAAGTTGGCTCTCTAGCCAAAAGGTGAGACATCTCATGAGCTCTAAACGAGTCAGCGCACGAGTTTAGCTCAACAAGCCATCGAGTCAAGTTAGCTCGTGAGCTTCACGAGTTTAACAAGACTTAGCTCATACTCGGCTCGTTAATAAATGAACTGAATCTCGAAAAACTTTTCTCGAGTCGAGCGCCGAACCGCTCGCGAGCAGTTCGACTCATTTGCAGTCCCAGTTCCATACTAGTCTGCTGGAAAAGTTTGCTGAGCGAGGGTGTACGTGCGTGTTCATTGATTATGCCTCCAGCCAGAAGAGTAACTTGTTTTAAGAACTATCTATGCAGAACATTCTAACATCAGGTGTTGTCCTTTTTCATGAAATTCAGTTCCCATTTCAGTCCTTCGTGTCGCAATGCCTCCATCTCCATTGGATTCCACGACCCATTTTTCTCAGCTAGCCGAGGACTTGGATTGGATGATGTCATCTTTGGCGACCTTAGGCCCAATTCTAGGTCGTTTGTTATGTCTCGTAGTTCTCCTGCAAGGACGTCATCACCTACCTTGCCCAACCCATTCAACCCAAGTTCACCGGTCCTCCCTTCCAAGCCCGGCCCATGAGACACTGACTCTGGGCCCTCCGCTGGGCCTCCTGCTTCCCCGAGCCCACGTTTCCCGCTTCTCGTCCCAGAAACCGAGTTTGAAATCGGCCTCTGTTGAATAAAGTTACCAAATCA